CCCCAAGGCAGGAGTTGGGGTCGTTGGGGACTGTCACTCATCATTTGCGCCGTGGTCGGCCATTCGGTTGGTGATATGGGTGAGACCAAGGCTGCTGCAAACCGCGTGTTAGGGGTCATTGAGGATGCGGCCGTGCGCGGGGTGTCACTGTTCACAAAAGCAGACGTCATGAGAGGGCTCTACTCTACGCAGATGGAAATGGTGACCTTAGCGGCTGCATTGCTAGGCAAGGGAGTGGAGGCGAGGATGGAAATAGAGCCGCTTAAGGCCTAATTAGAGGAGGCACAGGCGCAGTTGTAGAATGTGAGAGCAAAAATAACAGGCTGGAGGAAGGCGATGATGAGTGCCTACTCGAAGGGCTTATTGTATGCTCAAAAAGTGAAGAAGATGGAGGTGCTGGCAGTGGTGCAGAGTTACTTGGCTGAGCGCGCCATAGTAGGCCAAACTGAGGTCGCTGCCAAACTGTCAGTCGCCAAGGTAGAGCTTGAAGTGACACGTCATAAGGCGATGTCGTTGGAGTTTGAATTAGCGAGTGAACACCGCTAAGGAGAGGTTGGAAAAGGCCGTCGTAAATAACGAAGAGCTGTGTGATCTGGCCCTAAAGGACAAAGAAGAGGCAGATGCATGAATGGCTGAATTAGAGAAGGCATTAGCTGCTGCACAAAGGGCTTTAGAGGAAGAGATGGAGAAGTCGGCGGATTTGGCCAAGACTTTACAAGCAGAGAGAGCGACCTTCCCAGATATGTAGGTCACAGCTATGGAGTAGTACAAGCAGACCCAGAGTTCCAAATAGCCATTGATGCTGCTGTGGCCATAAGTCTAGCTAGGGGGGGGAAAGCTGGGCCTTCGAACGTAGCAGTGGTAGAGTTGATAGAAGGGCAGACCAGAGGGGAGATAATACAAAACATCCAAGAGTCCAACTTTTACAAGCATGAACTGAGCATGTATTGGGATAGTGGTTGGACAAGCTTTAAGTACAGGGCACAAGAGTTATTCCTAGACATGGACTTTAACCTTGCAAAGCCAGGAGAGAGGGATATCGCATAGACCCCACTGGATAAGGGTGTAGAGGAAGAAGACTTGGCATCCAACAATGGGGATGGAGGAGAAGGAGACTGAAGACTTGGCTTGAGCTGGGGTGGATTGCTTTGTGTTATTGTTTTGTTGTTATTTTTTTTTTTTTTTTTTTTGGTCTTTGTATAAAGGTTTAGATTGTGTTAATAAAAATTTGTACAGTATTAATGAAATGACAAAACTTGGCTTTTGTTATGAATTTTCTCTTTGTTGGTTTTGCCTTTGAATTTGCCAGTTACGAATTGTCTTTGATGTTGAGTTGAATGCAAGTTTTTGAGTTGAATGTCACATGTACAAATGTGGCTATATAAAAAGTGGTAAAATAAATATGTTATACTAGACTTTGTTTGGCTGAGATTGAGACTTAGTCTTGGTGGAGTGCTTCAGGCTTGGTCTAACTGAGGCTTGTGACACTTAGTCTGGCTGAGCTCTTCAGGCTCAGGCTGGCTCAAACTTATGGTGTTCGGTCTGTTTGAGGCTAATGTAACTCAGTCTGGCTGAGTTTTTCAGGCTCAGTCTGGCTAAGGCTTATGGTGCTTAGTCTGGTTAAGGCTTATGTAACTCAATCCGGCTGAGCTCTTTAGGCTCAGTCTGGCTGAGGCTTATGGTGCTCAGTCTGATTGAGGCTTATGGTGCTTAGTCTGGTTGAGGCTTGTTCTTCAGAAAGAGGGGTACCACACCAAAAAATGCAGATTGAAAATGTTTGTCATTAAAGCACATGGTATGGCAAAAGCAAAAATGAACAAGTGTTCTGAATAGAAAAGTGAACCACATAATAGGTTGAACCATACAAAAAGCAGTAGAAGCCATTTTATTGAAAATATTGTTTTAAGTGCTCTGCATTCCATGGATGAAGGAGGTTTCTGCCCATCATATCTTGGAGATGGTAAGCCTGGACGGGGTCTGGCTGTGATAATGTAAGGTCCTTCCTACTTAGCTGTTAGTTTGCACTCGGTTGGGTTTTTGGTAGCGAGAGTGGCTTCGCGTAAGACTAGGTCGCCTACTGCGAATTCTCGAGATCTAACTCTACGGTTATAATGTGTTCTCATTCTCTGTTGATATGATGCCAGCTTGACAATAGCTGACTCTTGGAGCTCTTCGATTAGATCTAGGTCGGCCCGTCTCAGCTCTTCGTTTAATTCTGGGTTTGGATGTAGCACCCAGGGGGTCAACAGACCGATTTCTGTTGGGATGACCGCCTTCGCGTCGTATGTTAGGCAAAAAGGGGTCTCTCCAGTAGGGGTGCGAGCTATCGTTTGATAGGTCCAGAGTATGTTCGGTAATTCCTCAGTCCAGAGTTCTTTGGCGACTTCCAATTTAGTCTTGATGATCTTCAAAAAGGAACGATTGGTGACTTCGACTTGCCCATTAGCTTGGGGATAGCTTGGAGAGGAAAAACACGGTTTGATGCAGAGCTTTTCATAGAATTTCTTGAATTTGGCATTATCGAATTGTTTTCCATTATCTAAGACGATGACCTAGGGGATTTCGAATTGGAACACGATTGATTGCCAGATGAACTCAGTTGTGTTTTGTTCAGTGATTGTAGCAAGAGGTTCAACTTCCACCTATTTGGTGAAGTAATCAATGGCAACCACAACAAACTTGACTTGGCCCCTACCAGTGGGTAAGGGACCGATTAAGTCAATGCCCCACTTGGCAAATGGGTAGGGACTGCTGAGGGTGATAAGTTCCGCTGGCGGTGCATGAGGGATGTTGGCAAAGCACTGATAATTATCACACTTAAGCACAAAGTCACTAGCATCTTAATTGATCATGGGCCAGAAGTAGCCTGTGCGAAGAATTTTATAGGCCAAAGACCGTCCGTTTGAATGATTGCCACAACACCCTCGTGTATTTCTCTCATCACATGGTTCGCTTGAGTAGGACTGAGACACCTGAGATATGGGCGTGAGAATCCCCGTTTATACAGTAAGCCGCTGATGATGACATAATTAGATGACCGAGCCTTGACTTTATCGACCTCCTGTTTAGCGTCTGGTAACACCCTGTGTTCTAAGAACTGGATGATATCTTGGGCTTACAGGATAGGCTTGTTCTGGAGGAAGTGGACCTCTTGTGGATCTGGCGAAACGGCTGGAGTGGTCAGGTATTCGACTTGGACGCCGTGACTGAGATCCGACTGGTCAGCTGAAGCTAATTTAGCTGACTTGGGGATATGTTGGATCTGGAAACTATTGAAAAGATGGGTGAGGGGGAGCGATGTCCTTGTATGTTCGCATTATTTCTTTATTCGCGTCAAACTCCCTAGTTATCTGTCTGACAACCAATTGGGAATCACTAAACACTTGGGATGTGGTCAACCCCAATGTTCTTGCCCACTCGGAGACCCACTATGAGGGCCTCATACTCAGCCTCGTTATTACTCGCATTGAATAGAAAACGGAGGGCACACTTGAAGTATTCTCCCTCTGGGGTGGTGAGGATTAAACCGGTTCCACTACCCTCTTTGCGAGATGAGCCATCTACGTTAAGGGTCGAAGAATGGGGATCAATTATCTTAGGAATGGCTTATGGCTGTAGAGGGGGTATGTGCAAGGTAAGGTTAGTGAATTCTAGGATGAAGTCGACGATGGCTTGGCCTTTGATGGCTGTCCGAGGTCGATAAGAGATCTCATATTGACTCAATTTGACAGACATTGCATGAGTTTTCCTGATGACTCTGGTTGTTGCATAATTTTCCTTAAAGGTTGATCAGTGAGGACCACAACTAAGTATGCCTAGAAATAGGGTCGGAGGCGTCTAGAGGTGATGACCAGAGCCAGAGCCATCTTTTCTAGTAAAGGGTAGTTATATTCTGCCCCTTGGAGTGTGCGGCTGATGTAGTAAATTGGGCGCTGGATTAAGTCATCTTCTCTGATGAGGGCAGCACTGACCGCGGTGGTAGAGACAACTAGGTAAAGAAAAAGGGTTTCTCTTGGCAATGCTTGAGAGAGGAGAGGGAGATTGGCCAGGCACTATTTTAGTTGTTGGAAGGCCTCCTCAGACTCAGTGTTCCATTCGAAGGCCTGTCGGAGAACTTTGAAGAATGGAAGGCATTTTTAAGTTGCTTGGGAAATGAAACGGTTGAGGACGACAACTCTGCCTGTAAGCCATTGGACCTCCTTCACCGTTCTGGGAGACTGCATTTGTATCAGTGCCTCAATCTTTTCTGGGTTGGCCTCAATGCTGATCATGAACCCTAAAAATTTACCAGATCCGATGCTGAAGGAGCACTTTTCTGGATTCAGCTTCATCTGGTACTTGCGCAAGGTCTGGAAAGTCTCTTGCAGGTTCGCTAATTAATCGGAGGAGAGTTTTCTCTTGACGAGCATATTATCGACATAAACCTCCATATTTCGACCTATCTAGTTTTTGAAAGCGGCATTGACCAGGCATTGGTAAGTGGTCCCTGTATTCTTCAAACTGAATAGCATCACATGGTAGTGATAAGTCCCTCTGTCAGTAATAAAAGAGGTTACGTGCATCAAGATCTAATTATGGCCGGAGAAAGCATCCATGAAGCTAAGCATCTGATGTCCCGTAGTCGCGTCGACCAATAGATCTATCCTAGAAAGTGTGTAGCTATCTTTAGGATAGGCTTGGTTGAGGTCGGAGTAGTCAATGCACAGTCGCCATTTGCCATTATTTTTGTGGACCAAGACTACATTAGACAACCATCTGAGATAGTCCATGTTTCTAATGAACTGTGCCTTTAACAGCTTGTCCACATCAATGGCGATGATGTTGTTGCGCTTTGGATGAAAAATGCATTACTTTCGACAGAACGGTCGGAACTGGGGCTCAATACTGAGGCGATGAGTGATAAAAGCAGGGTCGATTCCTGGCATGTCCAAATGAGTCCAACCAAAGACATCGTTGTACTCGGCTAAGAGAGCCGTGAGGTCGCCATTGGCCTAAGGAGACTAGCTACCAATCTTAGTCGTCTTCGTTGGATCGTTAGAGTTGATGGACACTTCTATTAACTCTTCCACTAGTTCCCCACTGATTAATTCCTCCTCATCTCTAACGTCAAGACCTTCTATGATCATAACTTCTTTCATTTTTACTTCTTTTAACGAAGCGACGTAACATTCTCTAGCCACGGTCTGCTCGCTCCTTACTGTGCCGACCCCATGATCGATTGAAAATTTTATTGACAGGTGATAAGTAGATGTCACAGCTTGGAAAACATTGAGTGCTGTGCGTCCAAGGATGACGTTGTAGGCGGAGGGGCAATCGATAACCAGAAAGGTAAGAATCTTCATATTTTGCCTTGGGTACTCATCGATAGTGATTGGTAGGTCGATGGACCCCATAGAAATTACACGGTTCCCAGTGAAGCCAACTAAAGGCGTTTGCAGAGGTGATAACTTTTCTTCGCCAATCTGGAGCTACTTGAAAGCATTGAGGAAGATAATATCCGAGGAGCTGCCATTCTTGACGAGCACACGTCGAACCTTGTAGTTAGAAAGGAGAGAGGAGATGACAAGTGGGTCGTCATGGGGGTATCGGACGCCTTCATAATCTGCATCTGTGAAGGTAATCGATTCGGGCCATTGCTTGGATTGCTTGGGAGGTCGGTCGATCAACATTAATTCCTTGTCTGACCTCTGCCTGATTCGTCGGAGCTCGGCCCGCTGTGCCGACCGCGGTGGTCCGCTGCGCGCGAGTCCACTTGTAATGACCCTGATTTCACCAGCTGGGAGAGCAGGGGCTCTTAGAGCTCGAGGTTGGTGTTGGGCCCTATTGCCTTCCCATCGGGGGAGGTTAGCCAGTCTTGGTGGGGTGCGTCTATCGTTCCGCTTTGGTGGGTCGGTCTTGACCTTTTGGTGAGGTCGGCGCACAGTGAATCGAGTTAAGTGTCCTGATGGACCAAGTGTAACAACCCGAAAATTTAAGTTGTCTTTTAAATTTTATATTAGTATTATGGTTGTATGTGATGATATATTATTAAATAAATGATAATAAATACAGAATCTAATTTGGCATTGGATTATCAAATATGAAATTAATTATGGATTATTATTTGGAGCCAAATTAACAGAAATATAGAATTATAATACTAGTTGGGCCAAATTAGAGTAAATAAATAATAATATTGATAACAACAATAACAATAATAATAATAATAATGGATGTGGTAGTAAAATAAATAATTAATTTTCTATTGGTATACGATAGAGTGCAATTTAATTAGAGATTAATTTATTTATATAGTTATATTAAAAAATTGGGCCAAAGTGTAATTATCTTAAATATTTATTAAAGATAAGTATAAATCTATATAATTTATGAATCAAATCTGGGAAAGATACGCGTGCCACGTTCTTATAGGGAGGAGGTGATCAAATGGGCGGAAAGAAAGGAAAAAAAGAGAGAAAGGAAGGAAAAAAAAAAGGGAAAAGGAAGGAGAGTGAAGGAACATCTGCGAGAAGGTAGTAAAAATAAGAAGAAAATAGTAAGGATCAATGTTAAGGTGAGTTATATTATACCTTGAGTCACCCTAATATATTTTACGTATGTTTTGACTTACCATATTTATTTTATACAAGTTATGTTTTATAAATTATTATAAATTATATTAATATTTCAATTACGTGTATTAATTTCTGAACTCTATTGTTTAAAATGAAACGCATGGATATGTATGTTTATATTTTAAAGAATATTTGACTATGACCTTATAAATAATTATGTTTTGTAAGTACCACCACGGGAGTCCTACGCCTTGGGGGACTTAAATAACCATTAGCCTCTGTTTGGTCCCTTTGTGGCCCTTTATTGTCATGGATCTATTGACTTCTGTTCTGTGCGGAGTAAAGTGTTGTGTGGAGATAAGTGCTACACTATTGTGGGAGCCACCTCTATAATCCGTACGAGCCACCTCTTGAATCCGTACCTCTGTTCTGACTGTCACTCCTGTGACCTCTGTTAGGTTCTGTTCAGTACTGTGGTTATGGTTATTTATTTACATAATCTCAGTTTTACTACTTAAATGATTATTTGTTCAGACTAAGTTATCTTAAATATTTTAGTTACATAACTATCCATGATTATTTTGTGTCCTTTATACTCTTGGTATAATATTTCTCACTTTGCCATGTACTTATAGCTGTTTACCAATTTCAGGAAACAATGCAATTCAGAAATAACTTTTGAAAAGTCTTAGACGCAGGCTGCAGAATAGAGACACACAACATTTTTATGATATTTTTATATGTAAATATCGGCCTTTTGTGTCAATAAATTTTGTAATAAAAATAGAAGATCCAATCAGTATTTTAGTATCCTCATTTAAATATTATTTCCGCTCGCGTTTATTAATTTGTTCAAGAATTGGCCGGGGGTAACTTCAGTTACTGGCCATCACAATACTTAACACTTGGATACGAAGAGCGGGTCGTGACACCAAGTCCTTGACCTGATCCTTAAGATTGACGCATTCATCCGTGTTATGGCCATGGTTGCGGTGAAAGCAGCAGTAGTTGGACTGGTCCCGTCAATTGGAAGGAAACTTGGAAGGTTGAGGCCATTTCAAGTTATAATCTTGATGGATTTGATTTAGGACATGCTCCATGGACGTGTTAAGAGAGGTGTACCGCTCACCGGGTGGTCAGGGAAGAACCGTTCGGTCGGAGCGTGGAGGTCGGTTAGGATGAGCGTATTTGGATGTCTAGGTTCCGACTCTTTTCTCTTGTCTTTGAGTTGTTGGGGTTTGGGTGTAGAGTCTTGGCGAGCTGCTAAAGAGTCGTATTTTTGCATTTTGGTAAGGAGGGTGGCCATGGTCGTCGGAGGATTTTTTGAGAGGGAGAAGAGGAAATCCGACGGGCGGAGACCGACCATGAAGGCTATTAAGATGACCTTATCATCATTCTCCTCAACCTGAATTAAAGCGAGTGACAAAACTGCGCAATGATTCCCGTCAGTTTGTAGAATATTCAACAGTTGGGTCGTCGGTCGTCACTAATGCTGAGCATTGATGAAATGGCTCAGAATGTAGTCATTTAGCTACTAGAAAGTGGTGACAGAGTCCGGCGGTAATTGAATGAACCAAAGTCACGTCGACCCCTTGAGCGTTACGGGGAAAGCACGATGCATGATTTCGTCAGGGAAAACATGAAGGATCATGAGGGTCCTGTAAGCTTCTAGATGGTCGACCGGATCGGTTGTGCCGTTGAAGGTATCGATCGGTGGCATCTTGAACTTGGAGGGTAGGGGTTTGTCACTGATGGATACAGCAAATGGGAAGTTGGTTATTGTAGAAGGTTTGTTCTGCATGTTCGGTATGAACCCCTGAAGTTAGAGCTTCATGGCTCGCAGTTCCACGTCCCAAATAGGAACATTGTCACCGCCGGAGGGAAATGGGGGTTGAACGCTGCTAGCCTCATCTTCGGGGATGGAAGTGTGGTGTGATAGATGCGAACCCTGAGGTGGGGGGTGCGGTTCCTGAGGCGGGGGCCGTAGACCCTCCGAATTTGGCAGGTGAGCTTGTGGTATGAAAGGCGGTGGAAGAGGTCCCCGATGAGCATGTGGTTGGAGTGGGTGACTTAGAGTTTGTTCCCGATTTGGAGGGATGTCGGGTGGTAGTTGAGGAAGAACATGGAGATCCCGTTGGAGCAAGGTATTGATGGCCTGGTTTTGTTCGGTTAAGCGGTTGATGCTGTTGGTGAGTTCTGCGAAATATGAAGGTGGGTTATTTGGGTTAGAGGACTTAGCTTCAAGGTTACCAGCATTGTGTTAGGAAGCCATGGACCTGGTCGTGACCATCCAACCTAACGTAAGAGGTGGGTGATAACGGGGTTTCTTCCGGTAACAATGAACACAACTGTTTTTGCGGAATATATTTCCCACAAACGGTGCTAACTGATAATGCAACAGTTCCAATGGAGGATGGGTCAGACTGATCCACGCTTCCAACGGGTCTGCTGACCTCGGTGTTCCCCAAACGAGCTTGCAAAAAGGTCCGGAGGAGGAGGAGGAAATCTCCCTACGGACTCTCCGAAGATCAAGTTAGGTTAGGGGAGATTGATTATAGATAGAGAGAAAAGAGGGATGAGGAACTTAACCTTTATCGTATCTCGAAAGCTTCCTTATATCATTTGCTTATCATTTCCTTGTCCATTGCAGACTGTCTTGTTGGCCAAAAGTCTATAGTCTAGTTTACATCGTTCATGGTGAGTTTGCCCCCTTCGATGCGAAGGTCTTGCTGCATTTAATGCTGCGAAGACATCATTAAATGACTTATGTAGGGGCGCAACAACTTTGCAGGAATCTTTGTCTGCTTATGTAGCTAATTTCCTGTCTATGTTTGCATGCTGTTGGTCTTGGTCCAGCATTACCCAGACCGTGGGCTAAGCCCTGAGTCGCGGGCTGGGCCTTTTTGGGTGCCCATTATGTTGTTAGTCCTAGTCCAGTATTACCCAGACCGTGGGCTGGGCTCTCTTGAGTGCCCACCTGTATCAATCTGAAAATTATAAGAGATATATTTTTAATTTTTGTGGTTATCAATTTAGTGTTTGAGAAGAACAAAACAGTAATATTATGCACCAAATTGACCTAAACACATGCCTGAAAGTATGAATCACACATTTGAATATCACTTTCAACAGCCACCAAAGAGAAAAATGCCATGTACAACTTTAACAAGCTTAAATAGTTCTTACTCCAGTCAAAATTATTCTTGAGGACGATATATATTATCAGATGACATTATTCAACAAACTTTTAATCAACACCTCACAGATAAATATGTAAAATTTTTAATGGATAAGCTACACTTTGTATGCTATACAATACCCCGATCTAAGTTTATTTCTTTAATATATATATATATATATCATAAGGAACTACCATTTTTTTTGGATTGAACAATCGGATGTGTGGAGAGTCAATAGGTATTTGTTATTAGGATTATGTTGTTGACTGACCATTAGGTTCTATTAAAAGAAAAAATAGTACCAAAAAAGTTAAATTTTAATATACATTTTACATATTTTTATTATATACTGACAGTAATCACTGCCTATTGGGTAGTCTACTTTATTGTATAAACTATTTGATTCGATCTCAAACAAAAATTAAGTGAAGTTTAAAATGCACATCATGGGAGAAAGGAGAAAACTGTGTGCAAAATATAAAAAAAGTCTCATGTCATTAAGAAAAATTATTAATTGAAAATTTCAAAAATAAGAAAAAATTAATTAATAAAAGTGCAATTGATATATTAATAAAAACATAAGTATATATACCAGTATTTATAAGGCCTACTCGAACTGAATTAGGGTTCTACTCGAGTTTGACTTGATTTTCATAGCTA